GTCAGAGTTCTGCCCTGTTCCACACAGCAGGCTCTTCAAACCCAGGCTCCACCTTGAACTGAATCACTGGCTTGCTCCTCTGACCCTGTCACAGCACAGCAACCTCTCTTCCAAGCACGCTGCTGAGAAAATGCAGAACCGCTCTATTTCGAAAAGGCTCCACATCCCTGCATCCGAGCTGGGTCACTCACCCGTTGAGTCATATTTAGCAAGTTCAGGGTCTCTTTACCGCCCGTGGGGAAATATGGTTTATGAAAAACTTGAGGCTATTTTACTTGCAAAAGCTATATAAGCATATATAAGCGTTGTCTAGCAAATGGCATTTTATGAACATAACTCAATTTAAAAACTCTTTAGACTTTTAGGATTTAATTGTCTATCATTGTGTGTGGGTTTGTGGTGACGTGGGATGGAGCACAGATGCCGCAAGGCATTTGCAGAAGTCAGAGGACGGTTTTGAAGGGTTGATTCTCTCCTCCCACTTTTTTGTTTGGTTGGGTTTTTTTTTGTTGTTGTTGTTGTTGTTTTTTGAGGGGGGGAGGGGTTGGTTTTCAGAAGACTTTCACCTATCTCTGCTTCCTGAGTGCTGGGATTAAAGGTGTGGGCCACCACTGTCTGGCTTCTTCTTCCACTTTTATGTAGACTTTGGATGTCAAACTCAGGTCACCAGGTCCTACTCAGCAAGCACCTTTACCAGCTAAGTCATGTCACTAATCCAAAAATATTTTTTCTTTAAAATAATTTTGTTTTAAATTTAAAGAAGATTTATTTATGTTAGTTATGTGTGGATATTTTGCCTGCATGTACATTTATCTGCACACCAGAAGAGGGCACCTAATCCCACCTACTGCTGTAGGTGGTTGTGAGCCACCACATGGGTGCTGGGAATTGAACTCAGAACGTTTGAAAGAACAGTCACTGGTCTTAACCACTGGGCCATCTCTCCAGCCCTTAAATTTTTATTTGTATTTGTTTTGTTTTGTTTTGTTTTTTGTTTTTGTTTTTCAAGACAGAGTTTCTCTGTGTAGCTTTGGAGCCTGTCCTGGAACTAATTCTTTCTTATAGACCAGGCTGGCCTCAAACTCACAGAGATCTGCCTGCCTCTGCCTCCTGGGTGCTGGGATTAAAGGCATCCACCACCACTGCCAGAAAATTTTTATTTTTATTAATATGTATGGATGTGCATGTGTGGGTGCCAAAAAGGACATAAAATGTTGGATCCCTTGAAGCTGGAGTCACGGGTGGTTGAAAGCTGTCAGACATGGGTGCTAGGAACGGAATCCTAGCCCCCCTGAAAGAATAGTAAATGTTCTTAGCCACTGATCCATCATTCTGCCCCCCTCCCAAAACATATTTTTATTGGAGCCTCTCTAGGTTTGGTGGTGGATGCCTTTGATCCCAACACACGGGAGACAGAGACAAGCAGATCTCTGTGTGTTCAAGACCACCCTGGTCTATATAGTGTGTTCCAAGACAGATAGATATACCCAATGAGACCCTGTCTAAAGAAAAAAACATTCTGGGAATGACTGAGTTAGCTCAGCAGTTAAAAGTACTCATTACTCTTGCATAGGACCAGGGTCCAAGTTTCAAATTCCACACGGCAGCTCAAAACTGTCTATAATTTCACTCCCAGGGGATGGGATGCCCTCTTCTGGCCTCCAAAGGCACTGCACGCACATGGTACACACATGCAAGCAAAGCATACACATAAAATAATAAAACAAATACATTTTAAAAATTGCTATAATTTGTTCTTCACTAGCACGAAAGCTCTTGGAAATGGACTGTTTCCGCTCTTCTCACACTTAGCATGGCGGTTATAATGAACCTAGGTATTCCTCCACTGAATTCTGTATGAAGCCAAGCAACCTGGAAGTGTCATGAAGTTTCGTGAGTTCATGGACTGGGGAGGGGTGGTGGTGTTTATATCCTTCATTAGATTTTTAAAGGTATGAGCCAACAAAAATGGCCAAGAACCACCCAAATCCTTTGATGCAAAGTTATTGAATAAGCAAAAGGCTGCTATTTTTGAGTTTAATCAACAATTCTGGTTGTGCTCCAGAGTGAGGGGAGCTTACATAACTTCATGGTATCTATCTAGGTCATGTTAAGGCCAAGTGCAAAGAACAGAAATGAGTAGAAACAGAAGTCAGACATTGAGATCATTCTGCTAGTATTAAAGGAAGAGCTGGGACAGCCTTGGCTAATACTGCTCTCCCACCAACCAACACAATATGCCCAGGCTACTGATTTCAATAGTGACCAAACTATCAGAAAAATGTCAATATGGTATCCTGCAAAGAGAAGACACTGGATGGATATTTGATGGTTCTAAGAACCCAAGATGAAAAATCAGAAAAACAAAACACTATAAAACTGTTTCCAGAGCCGGGCGGTGGTGGCGCACGCCTTTAATCCCAGCACTCGGGAGGCAGAGGCAGGTGGATCTCTGTGAGTTCGAGACCAGCCTGGCCTACAAGAGCTAGTTCCAGGACAGGCTCCAAAACCACAGAGAGACCCTGTCTCGAAAAACCAAAAAAAAAAAAAAAAAAAAAAAAAAAAAAAAAAAAAAAAAAAAAAAAAAAAAAAAAAAAAAAAAAAAAAGTAGGCTGAGCATAAGCCAGAGGGAGAAAGTCAGTAAGCAGCATTCTTCCATGGCTTCTGCTTCAGTTCTTACCCTGATTTCTCTCACTCTCGACTTGTGTAAGAAGTCAATAACCCCTTTCTTTTTGCATTAGCTACTTTTCTATTACGACGATAAAAACACCATGACCAAGGCAACTTCTAGCAGGAAGGGTTGTTTATTTGAGTTTATGGTCCCGGAGGAATAAGAACCAGTCTCTGTCACTGGGAAGTGGCAGGCGTGGTGACTGGGGCAGCAAGCTGAGAGCTCACACTTTCGGGAGCAAACATGAAGCAGAGAGAGAAAATTGGGAACAGAATGAGATCTTAAACTCTCAAAGCCCACCCCCTTCTTCCTCCATATTTTCTTCAGCAAGGCCACACCTCCAAATCTGTGGGGAATGGCCTCTGTGCAGTGGTAGCCTGGTCTCGGGTGGGAGGTAGATGCAGAAGAGGAAAGTTAGGGCTGTCAGTCAATGGAAGTGGATGTCAGAGGTACATTTCCCTGTGACCTTCAACTTAGCTGTGATTCACAATAGACTCAGACTGGTGGTATGAATATTACCACCAATATGGTTACCCTTGAGCTAGAATAGTCTTCCCATTCTCTTCCCATTGCCCACTTCTATATTTACAGTCAGAATAGAGCAGTTGCATGTTGTATTCTCTTTCTTTTTTCCTTCATCCAAGATGCCCATGTTTTATAAACCTTTTGTCGGGTTAAAATTACACACATCCATCCCTTCTACTATGTCACCTGCCCTTGTCATAATCCATTAAACTGATTTCAATGTATCGGTTCATATTTGGGAGAGTATCAGACATCAGACACTTAGAACAAAGTCTAATCATTTACATACACTACACTAAGTAAAAGGTGTTGATCTTGGCCCTTGAGCTTGGTAATCAGCCGACCTATTATTTGACGAGCTCCAGGTCACTGAGAGATCCTTTCTCAAAAAGCAAGGTGCACAGTTCCTGAGGGCGACATTTAATGTTGTCTTCTGGTCTCCACACATACACACACATGTGTGCACTCTTGTCTGCTCCCCTGTGAATATGTGCACATACATACACACCAAGATCTATGACCCTGAGGCGCTTGACTTCATCTGGGACTCCAGAGCCCAAAGTGACAGTTCAGGAATAGAGCCACACCAATCCTCCCACGCTGGGGTAATTCACATCCATCAAGGGCCCAAGGTGGAGTTTTAGAGCTAAAATAGGAGACTTTGAGCCTATGCCTTGCAGCAGGTTTTTTGTTTGTTTGTTTGTTTTGTTTTGCAGGACCCTGATCATCTAAAGGGTGTGGGGCCAAGGCAGAAGTGTGGGTCAACCCTTCTGCTGTCAGAAATATTTCAGTGGTGGGCTGGAGAGATGACTCAGAGGTTAAGAGCACTGGCTGCTCTCCCAGAGGTCCTGAGTTCAATTCCCAGCAACCACATGGTGACTCACAACCATCTGTAATGAGATCTGGTGCCCTCTTCTGGCCTGCAGGCAGACATGCAGGCAGAACAGTGTGTACACAATAAATAAATAAATCTTAAATACTTCAGTGGGAATGCTTGAGAAGCATCAATCTATATATAACTCAGGCATTGAGGGGAAATTTTCAACTTTTAAAACATAATTTAAATAACAATAAGTGCCGATTCATAAGGAAGCTGGGCGATTGTTCCAGAAACACAGGCTTTCATCTGGGCTATGCGCCTTCCCTCTCCTTCCCTATTCACAGCCCCCAAGTTGTCACAATACTAAATGGCTCTGTAAATTAGTTAAGTATACAGAGACCAATCCAGGCAAACGCACATGCGTGAGGAGAATCCTATTAAGATTTCCCCAGATGAAGGCTCTCCATGAGGAAGTGCCACAGAGCCTTCGGATAACTCATCCATGTTGAATACAAGCAAAGCTCACAAAGGCTCTCTATGGCCTGCTGTAAGGGAACCTCCGATGACTCCTCCCCCCCACACTTCACCTTTACCACAACCCTGGAAGCACGGTGCTGGCCCTGTAGGTGCAGTGGTCTGGGGTTCACCGTGTTCACCAGGGAACTATGGTAACCACTGCGGGAAAGGTCTGGTGGGATGGCGGGGCAGTTCTCCATCTTGTAGAGAAATCTATGTGGAGGGCGTCCATGACTATTCCTGGTCCAAATCCCGTCTTGACCTGTAGATTTAAGGAGAAGGATAAAAAGCAAATGGGTGGATGGCTTTGCCTCCTGATTTCTCCTCCAGGCTATCCTCTTCCCACTCAAACCAAACACCTCCCACCTGTCAAGAAAAAAAAATCTGGTGTTAAATTATAATCAGACTTGTAAAACAGAACATGGGGTGATTATTTTAATTACATGATTTTTTTTTCTTTTCCAAAAGGAGCATTTGCCAATGGATTCCTTTAAATAACCAATGCCTTGCATGTTTAAGAGAAGTCATGATTGACAAGAGCATGACACAGAGCAGAGCTTTTTTGGAAACACATCCCATCCGTGTCGTTTGGGTGGCCTTGCCGGATGAGCACAGTGGTGATCCAGCAGAAGCAAGGCTGCACTGAAACAGCATCTCTAGACTCAAAGTGAAACGGAATCCTCTTTGGATGCCCAACTTCTGGCTCAAGCGGTCTACACTTGAGTCTCACGGTCTCTTCTGCAGCTGGTGCTTGCTTGGTTAGATTTGTCCTGCAGCTCAAAGGATTGATGTGAGCATTAGATAGGATAATGTATTAAATGTGATGTGTAGCACCCTTCCTGCCTGCCACTTACTAAGTTATTAACTGCTATTGATAACTGCTAGATGGACAGGATGCCGTCCCAATGCCCAGGAAATAGGAGAGCAGATGTCTTGTTCTATTCTAATTACATGATCCACAAACCAGGCAAAGACTCCAAACACAGCTTCTAATTATCTAGTTAGCACGGAAGAACAATCTATATTAGATTAAATTCCAAACAGCGACTTTCGGCCAATATATCCTTACATTCCCAACGTTCTATTTTCCACCACTCAACTAGCGCACCATTTTCTACAGGGTTCAAAGGGCAGGAAATTCTTCCAAGTGCTCAGTGGGGAACGTGTGGTAATTAAGATCAGAACATCTCCGAGATATCAGGAGTTTTCCTTGGCTTGGGACAAGTGGAAGCAATCGTTAAGTTCTCCTTTTTGACGATGGCTTGGTGAGAATGCTGGTCTGGCTGGTCTGCTGGGACACACCACAGTGGTTCTGATGAGCAGCTCAGCTCCCACCCCAAACCTGCGAGGAACACAGGTTCTCGGGTCCCCTCAGGGTTATTAGAGCACAGTCGTTTGTGGCTGACGAAACCGTCGGGAGCAATATTGATCTGTCATATGGATGGCACACTACCCACTCAGTTCCCAGCAGACATCACTAACGAGATCTCAAAACCCTTTTCCACACAGTGCCCGGAGTGCCCCGAGTCAGCACAAATCAATCAGCTTTGGCTCGGTGGGAAGCAGTTACTGATGGACGGGCTCAATGAAGCATTCCTTCAGTTCCTTGGATTTCCCCTGCAGAAAGATTGTAGCCCGGCCTACAGAGGGTGAGACCCTCAGGACAATAAGAAAACAAGTTGGTTTCTGAACCTGAACATCATCTCTGACATAGACAAGCCTGGTTGCCACAGCCCATGAAACTGCCCTCAGAAATATAGGCATCGAGTCTACAGAAGAGGCTCCAGCCAGCAAGTTCAACCTCACTATAATTGCCATTCAAATGCTGTAAAACTGTCCTACATGCCCAACTGAGAGAGCATGAAAGGCTCCTGCTAGCTACCTACTTATCCCCTAGCTATTCCTATATGCCAATTTTTATAAAAAGCTAGATCCCAATCTTCACACTCTGTCACTGATTAACTTTGCCCTTTCTGGTCCGTTCCTCTTTCCAAAATCAGTCTATCCTTGGAGCGGGGGTTAAATGAAGAAAGCTTTCACACTCTTTCAGATAGACTGCTCTCTGGAGTGTGTGCACCAAGATTTGTACAGGATGTTACAGTATGGGTTTGTTTCCTGTTTATTGCATTTCTCTATCTACTTATTGTTGCCAGTGATGCTAGATTCTTTTATGTTGCTTTGTTTTGGAGACAGGATCTCCTGTAGTTTTTTAGGCTGGCTTCCAATTTGCTGTGACCTTGAACTCCTCCTCCCTCCATCTCCCAAATATTGGGATTACAGGTATGTGTCTCCATGACCAGACTCCTTTTATACAGAATTTTAGTCATCAACACTCAGTATAGTGAAGGCATAAGTCACGAACAAGGCCACACCAGTTTGGAGTTATGATTAATAGGGTGTTATTTATTTAAAGGGGAAAACTTACAGATCACCGTCTCAGACAACAGCCATCTGCACAACCAGGAAGGGAGTCTAGTCTCCAGCGGAGCAGGAAGTGAAGAGAGCGAGCAGAGGAAATAGCCGCTTTTTTAAAGGGAGAGAGACCATGCCCCCAATGGGCTGGTATCACAGCAGCTATTGGTTGGAGGGGGGCGGAAGGACCTCCCGCAACAGTATAGAACATTCTTAGCGCACAGGATCAACCTATAGGTTTGTACTGTTTTTATTTTTTCACTCTGTTGTAGTGTTTCTTTATTCAATATCTGGGATGTGTGAAAGTTTCTTATTTAAAAATAGGACTTGGAAAAAAAGGGGCGAGCTTCTTCTTTATATTTGCCCATATTGGCTAATCCATTGAAGTTAACTTGTACAAACTTTCGATGAATGAGGTTACTTCCTCAATAGCATTTCTGACAGATGGTCACTGCTATTAGTGACAACAGCTGATATTTTGGGACTTTAAATAGTCAACGAAATTCAACACATATTCCTAACTAGTGTTGCTTGAGTTTTGATGCACACTGGGAGTTCTTAGCTGGGAAGAGGACCTGTGCTGAAACTAGCTGGAACCGTAACTCAATCCAAGCTCCCATTCCAAAGCCAAGACTACACTGGAGCGTTTGGAATGGGTGGGGCATCCGAGTAACAGGCAGTGTTAGTCCTCAGGGGTTACAACCAAATGTTAAGTCAAGGACACCTGTTTAGATTTTTGCAAGCTGTGGTTGGAATACTGTCCAAAGAATGAAGCTGGCAGAAGCTAGGTTAGTTCACAGTTCTATTCATGGGTGGAGTTCAGTTCCAGTGGGGATCTGGAATGAAGACCAACTGTCTGAAGGCAGAGACGGCAGCTTTGGTGGGAGGTACATAATTAGACGTTGAGTCTTGGATATAGATGCTCGACTCAGGATCCACCGTGACAGATATTGTCATGTGTCCTCCAGCATCCTGCTTCTCTTTTCTCCTTGTTCTGGGCAGCCAACACACCCAAGCGAGAGCCCTCAAATAACTAAGATGATCATAGCAGTCATGAGCCCTGGCATCTTCCCTCCTTTGCAGCTATGGCAGTGAGGCAGAGCAGAAGCACTTTGGAAAAACACTCGCTTTTCTGTTAAAGCGACAGAATGGGCCTGGGGCTTCATCCTTCCTCTCCCTGCTTGAAATTTTGGAATCAATGGCAAAAGACCAACCCGAGCACTGAAATACCAGCTTTGTCATCATCAATCCATGAAACTAATGTCAGAAGCAATGTATGTCTGACTGTCACTACTTAAGGATTAGAACTTCTGGACTGGAGATGGGTCAGCAGTTAAGAGCACTGGCTGCTCTTCCAAAGGACCCGGGTTCAATTCCCAGCACCCACATAGCAGTTCACAGCTGTCTGTAACTCCTGTCTCAGGGGACCTGATACTCTCACACAGATATACATGCAGGCAAAACACCACTACACATAAAGTAAAAACAAATAAATTTTTAAAAAAGGAGTTAGAACTCCAGTTCAAGCTTTGGATCGATACTCCATCAGTCACCATGGAGAGCATTCCTAGCTAATGCCTCCACCCACTATGGAAGTGAACATTTTAAATGGCATCACATGCAGAGAACAGAGCTGAGCATATGTGTGCAGACGGTGCAACAGACAGGCCACACTTCAGTAGCACACACAAGAGCAGACTGACTGCATGTTCTGATCAGATCCTAGCGGAAGACTGTGTTTCTAGGTGGGGGTTAAGATTAGCTGAGGGTAGTTAAGACACTGGAAACTAAAAGACAAGATGTTGAAGCGGTAGAGTCTTAGCAAGGAATGTGAGGATATGGACGGGGTTCTTGCAGGGGTCTAAGGAGTCTACATACTCCATCCTTCCTATTCTAGGCAGCAGTTTTGGGGCTCCAGGCTGAGTCATGGCTAATCCCAGTCTGTGTTCTAGTTCCTAGCTACATGACCTTGACAAAGCTCTTATATTACTTACATCACTTCCCAATTTCCTCATCCTTAAGACAGAGATAATATCAGCACACACCCTGTTAATGTAGGAAATAAGTACAATAGTCCAGGCAGTGACTTTAACTCCATATTAGATTCACAGTGTGGCAACTTGAATAAGAATACTTCTCATTAGTTTATAGATTTGAATGCTTAGTCCCTGCTTGGAAGGATTGGGAGGCGTGGCCTTTTTGGAGGAGGCAAGTCACTAGGCGTGGGCTTTGAGGTTTCAGAAGCCCACATCAGGCCCAATCTCTCTTCTCTAAGCTTCCATCATGCAGATAAGCTCTCAGCTACTGCCAACACCACATCTGCCAGCCTGCCTCCCTGCCACCATCCTTCCTGCTATGATGATCATGAACTAAACCTCTGAAACTGTAAGCAAGCCCCCAGCTAAATGTTTCCTTTGATACGCTGTCGTGGTCATGGTGTCTCTTCACAGCAATACAACAGCAACTAAAACACACAGTAAATAGGATAAAGACAGTCATGGTGGCATGCACCTGTAATCCTAGCTCTTGAGAGACAGAGGCAAATAGAGCTCTGTGAGTTCAAGGCCAACCTGGTCTACATAGTCAGTTCCAGGACAGTCAGGAGCTACCTAGAGAGACCATGTCTCAAAAATCATTAATAAAGGGTATTTGTTTTAGAGAAGTAGGTAAATATATGGACTCTAGAGTCAGAATACCTGGGTTCAAAGCTTACGTTCATCATTACTGACTATATAACCTTAAGTAATTCTCAGTCTCCTGATCTGTCTTGTGGAGACAGTGACACCACCATCCTTAAATGATAGTTGTGGAGATTCAATCCAATGGCATTATAGAACACTCAGGACTGTCAAATAAGAAATAAGTATGGGCTAATATTATTAGTTGTCTTCTGAACAGCATAAAGAATGTGTTAGACTTATTTCTGGTTATTTTGGTTTCTAAAAATCAAGTCAAGTCCAGCGGCATGCACTATAGTTCCAGCTACTGGACAGGCTGGGACAAGAGGATCACTTCAGTCATGAGTCTGAGGTCAGCACGGACAGTGTAGAAAAACCTGTTTCAAAAAGGATTAAAACAGAGGGGGAGAATTATGACACCAGAGGAGATGATTGGGGGATCACTGACTGAGGACAGAAAGCATAGACGGAACACCACAGAGAAAGCTGAGTTGCAGATGGGCAATAGGAAGAGTGGGGTTACTGAAGCGAATGGGGAGGGAATTCCATTATATTCCATTTTAGGAGACTGCATTCTACAAACTATTTATTCTTCTTTACCTTGTTAACCTCACCATTTTAGTGCAAACCAAGTATTCCAACAATGTGACTTAAGAAAATTGACCATGTGGAAGAGTTTTAGCTCATGTTTCCTAATTGCTCATCCCAACAAATCTAATAATACTTAGGGATCATGTGTATAATGCGCAATTCAGATCATACCTAACCCAAGAAATATATAAAAACAAAAATAATTAAAGGACTGTTATCAGAGGCCACTTGGCACCGGATGGTGAACATAAATTATGGTGAATGCCAACAAACAACAGGTTGTCAGGGTTGTTTCCATTTTTGTTTTTTCCTATGAAATGTAGTTTCTGGTTTTGGAAAGGAATCTATTAAGAGTTCTTAGAAACAAACAAGAAATTTCTTTTTCTAGAATGAGAAAGCAAGCTAGTTT